TACTGTCTCATTTCTTGTGTGCCTTAATGCAAATGGCTGTGCTGACTGTATCTCAATAGTCTTTATTCCTATGCAGGTCTCTAAGGAGTTACATCATCATGCATCTTTTTAAAAACCATACAACTAGAAAGTCTTGGGCTTTGTACATTAAGCCACCCCAACTGCGGGGGTTTTTTTTTGTTTTGTTTTAAGAGTCCTTTCTGGAAATCAGACTGTTAATTCTCGGCCCAACAGGTTGTTCTAGGATCTCTCCCTTTCCTCCCGTGGAAGAACTACACTTCATGAAAATAAAAGTGATTTTTTTTTTTTTTACAATTAGTGTATAACTCTAGGCGGGTTTTTTTGGACACACCCTTTTTGACCCTGTTGATAAAGCTGCAACGGCAGGTTAGGGTTGTTGATGCTAAGTTAGTTTTAGCTGCATCCTGTACTTTGGCATTTGAGTGAGTTGGTGTTTCTGTGCTGTCATTTGCTGTTCCTTTGTACCAAATATAAACTTTTGCACTGACGTTGCTGCAGTGACGCAAAACATTTTTTACAGGGGGATGCTTTTGTGAATCATCACCCTCCCTTCCAGCAGGAATTGTGCAATTATTCCGTAACAGAAACTTCTGGGGCCCCGAGCTGGTCAGGCATCCAAAGGGCCCTTCAGTTAGCTGCACATGCCTCACCGACCTGAATTTTTTTCCTTTTTGAATAATTCAGGTAGTCTTTGTTTAGCAACCAACAATTGGAACCAGCCACCGTTAAGTGAAGATAAAGCGACTGTACTTACGATGCGACTTCAGCTTTGCTTTACAGGCCTGCGATGGTCATAAACGGAAAGACTGGTCACAAAATGAGCTTTTCATTTGTAACTACAAATGGCCGTTGCCCAAGGCTGTCAGTAAACAAGGACTGCCTGCAGTCCCTGTTCTGGCATGAAGAACCAATTTTGAAATTTTAGAGGAATTTGTATTATATCAGTGAAGATCTGGCTGGATAAAAGAACTACTCTAAAATGCTGAAATATTATTCTTGCTATTTGCAAAACTCTCAGCTTAAAGCATGCCTGAAGTCATTCTTTGTTTTGATCCTGGTTCTCAGACCCAGTCTCTAGGATTTTAGCAACACCCTGAAAATTCATTCAGAAGGATATAGAGAAGTATATTGGGTGGTTTCTGACCTGATAAATTTCCATTAAGGAAATGGCTTGAAATATCCTCAATGCAAACCCTGTGCTGAAAACCAGAACTTCAGGTAAGTTAGGTGTGCAAGGATCCTTGGCCAAAGGATTGCTAGGGGATTACCAGCTTGACAGAGGACTAAATCCTCCTAGAATGACTTTCATTAATTAATCAGCCATTCTTAATAAGGCTGTTTGAATACTCCCTCTTTTAAGCTAATGAATGAGTTTCAACAATGGAGTAGATGGTGTAAAATAGTTTTAATGCATTTATGATACAATTTTAGCAAGACTGCATAGCACACAAATCTTTCTAGAAAGGAGCTGCAAAGAATCATAGACTTATTAATAACTTTTTCTTTTTAAAAAAAAGCATATAAAGAAAGGAGGCTGTGCAGCACTTTGGAACAGTTCCAGAAAGGTGTTTTGGAATGTGTAAGGGTGCGGATGCATCAGCTGCATGCAACTCTTTAAAGCAGCTGCATCTTTTCCTGGGGATTGCATAGCAAAATCCTAGCAGGGAATGCTTTAAGCCTTTTACCTATTGTAGGACATTAATGCATAGGCAAGTGTACTGTGTGCACAAGAAATATATAGTAAATAAGGAACAAATGACTCCTCCCAGATAGCAATCATGGGGAAAAATAAGGTTTGAAATTTAGAATGTGAAAGACTTTTAAAAAGAGAGAATTTTTCCCCTCACTTTGTTGTGCAAGAAAACACTGCTTTGCTATATTTAAAAAAGAAAAGCTTTTTTTAAAAGAAATAAAAAATATATATGTACTTAGTAATTGTTTGTAGTCGACAGTTCACAGATGAAGCTGTTTGCGGTTAAAGCCGCCTGGCGGCACAAGCTGGACTTTGTTGCCATCTTTAAGATGAATCTTTAAGAGAAAAAAAAAAATTAAGTTAATCTTTTTCCCTGAATGTGGTGTTTTTTTCTTCATTATACAATAAATAATCTAGTGAACTTTTTATCAAATGGTTAAGAAAATGCTAGAAGTTGTTGTAAAATATTTGTATCTTGCATTCACTCAAGTAAAAATACTGGCTTTTACTGTGTACATCAGACTCACGATCCTATTTAGAGTGCCTGGTTATTCTGCCTTCCCTGGTTTCTGCGTCCTTCCTAAGCTTTGATTCATCCCTTTTTGTCCTGTCACAATGCCTGCTGTGTTGCATATGAACTTGAAAGTGGAGCTGTCCAACTTTATCAGGCTTTCCATTTAAAAAAAAGTGGGGGGGGGGATGGATGGGTTTGATTTCTTCTGTCTAAATCTAACATATCCAACTTGATCCCCCTTTCCCCCCCCCCCCCAAAAAAAAAATGTTGAGCTGCACCATCATGGACTGTCATGAAGATTTTGGCTCAGCATTGCTAACTTTACTCCAGCTTAGCCAGTCGGACTTAAAAAACTTTCACCATTTTGAAGAATGAACCCATTTTCATTGTAGGCAAGATCCAGAATCTTGCTAACTTTTTCGAACCCGGCCCTCATATAGAAGACTCCCTGTTGAAACCATTAGGTTTTCTGATTGAAGTAGTTCACAAATTTGAACTAGCCAACAAATGCTCTTTTTGGAAATGTATTAAGAGTCGAAGGCATTTGTTACATGTGATACAGTTTTTAAAAAATCACAGCTGACTTAGATGAATTGTCTATATACAGTCCCAAGAAATAATAGCTGAACTGGCATATCATGGGCATAGGCTGGGTTCACACTACATTGTCATGTGGCTTGCTTGAAATTGGCTTGGCATCTTATATAAACCTGGCAAATTGTGGTTTAGTCATGGCTTAGAATAATATGTGTAAGCCAGGGAGACTTCAGGTGAGCTGTTAGCAGCTGTCTCTTGATTCAGGTATCTACCCAGGGCCCATTTGCTTTGTTCAACCGATGATGAAAAACAAATATTTGGAAAGGCCTCATTTAAACTCTCCTGCTGACATCCAAAAACAATTGGATTGAAATGTGTTGAAAAAGCAGGATCATTTTCAGAGAATGTAACAAAATCTCTCCACATCTTCCCGTCTTGTACTATTACTTTGAGTTGTTCTGTGCTCTGGCTGATGTCGTCTTTGATGGTGTCCAGCAACCATGTTCGTTGGCCAGGTTTCCTTCTACCCTTGGAATATAGCTAGGGTTTAAAATAAGTATGTTTTTTTTTTCTTTTTCTCTGTTAAATGCCTCAATGTCAGTTTCTTTTTGCGTCTGAAACCTGCTGTGTAAAAGAGAAAAAAGTGTTTCTGTTACTGAGAAATTAGTAAGATCCCCAAAGGAACATGCGGCAAATAAGAGGGACACTTTGACATGTAAACTTAATACTTCAACTTTATTAAAAAACATATAGTCATAGCTCAAAGATGAGAAGTTTAAATACTCAATTAAAAATATTCCAAAGATTCTTAAACTACTTCAACCAAAAATCAGGTTTGCTTATGTCGTTTTATTACAATATCACATTATTTGATTTGTAGAAGTGGGAAATACTTTTATTTATTTTTTTAATGACAGCAATGGAGGACAGGGTGTGAAAAAAGGGGGGCAGTTTTGCATAGGAAGAGTGAAAAGGGACAAACTCTTTTCTGTTTCACCATATTCAAGTTGCTCCCATCAAAATTTTCTCCTGGCCCAAAATGTGTTAAAAGAAAGAACTTCAGTGGTGCAACCAGTCCATTAAATGTTTTATTTGTCTTACATTTGACAAGATAACTGATAATGGAAGATATGGTATATGATTTGGGATCATAGGACTTTATTTGCTTGCATTACTCAGATTGGCTAACATCAATGAACAGGAATGTTCTAGATCAGGACTCTGTTGCACTACAGAATTATAAACTTTGGTAACCTGTTATTGGATTGTCAGTTACTCAGAGGAAATGGAAATTAGTAAGCCAATCACAAATTCATTTCAAAGAATGTTAATTGAGGGGCCCATAGTGCTCTTTGAGTTTGGTTGTCATCTTGCAGATATTTCATTGTCTAACTTCATCATGTTTAAAACCTCTGCAAAAAAACAACCCAGAACAGAGAGCACCAAGGACCCTTCATTTCAACAAATATTCTCCTTTATTGGTAGAATGTTCATCATTTTTCATTGCATCATCTTTGTACTATTTTCCATGGGTAGACATAATTGGAAAGAAGAACTGTTCAATATCTTCCCCTTGATGATTAATACTTTATAGAGAGCAATGAGGGAAGTCCAATTATCCCATGGCTGGTTTTTTGCTCTTGCGTATTTCACTCCGTTCTGATATTCGACTCACCGCAATGAAAAGGGAGGGAGGCGTTTTTAGGACAGTTGCCCAGGGGCCAAGACAAAAGTTCACCACCACTGGCTCCGTCTTTACTGAAGCTATTCAGGGTTAGTCAGATAATTGGATCATCAAGCATCTGAATTTTGATCAAGTGGGTATATCTGAACAGTCACGAGCATGAGAAACGGTCATAAGTCACTTTTCTCAGTGCTGTTGTAACTTTGAACAGTCACTAAATGAATTGTTTGTAAGGACTTGCTGTATTGCAGTCACGAAGCTTAAGAGGAAGTTTTCTAGCCAGCTCAAAGATCTATAAGTGGGGTGCTAGTCAATGAGAGACATAACATAAATGAGCATTAAAACATGCGCATTAAAAACAGGAAAAAAAAGCCCTCTCCAGGTGAGGCAGATTGATGTCAAAATAGACCTGTAGCTTCCTTGGCCACAAGGTTTACAATAGATCTATACTGGCAACTTGCAAAACAAAAATAAATTATGTATGTAAACGACACCCCCCAAGTTCTAATTTGCAGGTCTCAAACATGGCTTTTAATCACTTTTGCTAAACACATGCAGTGTTCTGGCTTTTGCTGTGGATAATTTGGATGCATCTTATTTCTTCAAAAGGGCCAGGCCTCACAAAACCCTGCACGAGGAATAGGGATATCACCCAAATTGCATTCACTGAAAAAAAATCACCCTAGTTACACCGTGTTGAGAAATGTGTTTTAACAGTAAAAAGGGAAAGGACTGAAGAAAGTTAAAAAGGGGTTTTGGAAGCTAGGTCTAGTGTGGAAAACCTGGGCATCGGAAGGATGCCGCTGTAGGTTGGGATTCTGCCCTCATTTTGGGTATTATAAAACGTCCCTTCTTACCACACAGTTGGGAGCAAGCTCACAATTGGCTAATTATCTTCCATGACTCATTTTGCCCTGTTGTTCCTCTGCCTGGCCTTCACTCAAAATTCATCAGTAACCACAAATAACAAACATAGGCTCCACTGCTCAATACTGTACTTTGGGGGGAGGCAGGGGGGAGAAACGGGACCCAGAATCTGTTGTTACTTCCAGATCATTTGGGGCAGAGAAAGCAGGCCAGGCCATGTCACCCTCCTGATGGGATGAAAGTTTGTTTAGTAGTATGGACAGTGGGGGTGCTTTCTCGCCCAACATAGTTTGATCTTCCCACCAAAGAACGGTTCACTGAGATTTTAACGGGTTCCGTCGTGTTGGAGGTGCTGGGAACCACATCTAGTTGCTGGGTCTTAAAATAGACAATATAAAACACAGGCAAAACAATTCCTATCAGGAGCATAAGAAAGACGGCTTTCCACCACTGGATCCCATAATCTGCTCCGGAGCAGGTGGCTTTCTGCTCCCGAGTTGACTGGTTCGAAGGTTCAATGAAGGGATCTCTGCATGAAGGGATTTCCAGCTGTGTCACTCTTTCAATGTTTTGGTCAATCCCTCTGAAATATTGATCGATTTGTTCATGGTCACCACTCCTGCTTTCTGGATCTATGGATACGGAGTATTCGGGTCGTGGAGCAGGAGTCTGAAGGGGTAGCAGCTCATTGTTGGTCTCCGTCAGTAGTCCGTTAACCTTGACTGGAATCTTGATGGATTTCAGAGCATAGAAGTCTTGTTCTTGGATAAAGTTATTAACCCTCTTGATATCTTCAACCTGGGAAATTGGTAAAGGGAAATGTCTATGGAGATTTTTCAGTCATTCAGGTTGTGGTTGTTCCAAAGGTGCTTTTTCAGGAGGCCACTGGACTTCCTTGTTTTCCCTTGAAGATGTTTCATTTCTCATCCAAGAAACTTAGTCTCTGACTGGATGGTGGGGAATGGAAGGATTTATATACTCCTTGCAGACAGCTGGTCATTTGCATTCTCTTTAGAAAGTCATTGAGGCCACTTGGAGGTTTGTCTGTGTCCTCGGGGTCACCTGAGTAATGCAAATGTCAAACCTCCAAGTGGCCTCAATGACTCTCTAAAAAGATGCAAAGGACCAGCTCTCTGCAAGGAATACGAATCTTTCCATACCCCACTATCCTGTCAGAGCTGGAGAAGCTTCTTAGATGACCAGTTAAACTTCTTCAAAGAAAAAGAAGGAAGTCCAGATCCTCTTGAGAAAGCAGGTGCCTTTGGTTCATAAAATGAAACATTTTATTTACTGAAATTATAGGCTCACACATACCCACACACCTTTCCAAGTGATTGGGCAGTTACCAGGACATTAAAACAATCAGCAAAAAGTTTTTTTTTAAAAAAACATACAATCCAATCTTCAAAGGCAGGTGGGTCTAATATTACAACCTTAAAAACTATTGGAAAAACCAGGTATGTAATAACTTCCAAATGGTTAGCAAAATTGGAGCCATTTGACACTCAGGATAGAGACCATTCTAGACAGTGGGTGCTGCTATTAAAAAGAAAAAAAGAGGCAGGCTTCCTACAGCATTACATGGTGTAAATATTACATGCTGTAAATATTCCATATGTGGTGGTTCATCTGAGGCTGTATTTAATCTACTTTTAAAAACTGCTAAGGACCAGATAAATTTTGCTACTGGCATGTCCTGATATGTAAAACTCATAGAACTCAACGAGCGTGCATTTCCTTTTTCACACGACTGTAGATCCAACCAGAGGACATTGGTCCAGAGAAGGGACTTGGAGCAGGCCCAACCAGGAAGGGTTGCTAGATGGGAGAATATGAACTTAGACAGGGCAATGCAATGTCAACATTTTGAATGAGCACCATTTTTTCCTCTAGTACAGGTGGAAATTTGCAACTTCCTATTTGGTTCAAAAGCCCTTGCCCCAAAATTAGTTCCTTCCCTGCAGTTTGATAGGGATGGTACAGAGAGGGCCAGAAAAAGAATGATGATAATTTTTAAAAATGATACCAGAATAAATAAGGGGTGGAGTTAATGAACCCTTCCTCCTTTTGGTCTATTTGCATATTAGATACCTCCTCCTAACAATACGCTCATGAGAATGGGACTCGCTGCAGAAAAAAATCCAACCTGAATGCTTTGCTTCCACCAAACAAATCTAGCGGTAGCTCCTTATTCAATTGTGTTCTAGGATTATTCCTTATCTGTTCTTATCTTTGAAAATAGCTTAGCCTTTTACAGTGATAAGGTTCCAAATGGAAAACCTAGAAGATTTAACCACTGAGTGTACCACACTTTGGATCCTTTTCTTCTTCACATTTCTTCGGTATCATTTTTTATATCATTTAGATAACTCATTGCAAGATCCAGCTGGTTTCTCAGAATCCAGAGAGGATCCAATCCAATTAATCCAATTACTGAAAGCTTCTAGCATTCTGAAGTATGTATCTCTGTGTCCCTGTATAAATTTGTCTTGCAACACCTTAGAACTGCCCTTTAGAATCGGACAGTTCTTCAAAATCTAGTGAATCACAACAAAAGACTGAAAAAGAGATGGTTAGGTTAAGCATGCCTTCTAAATACTGGAAAGGAATTGACATTTCATGACAAGCTAACAACTTCCTTTCATGTAAGGCAAGAGTTATATTTTGTTAATCTTGTACTAGCTGCTGTTGCCAGCTAAACCCAGAGATAATCCTAGGATTCTGTTGCACTTCAGGAAACTTGTTTGTGAATTAGCTCTATTATTCTTGGTACTTTTTCAACAAGCTTCTTTAATGATGCTGATAACAACAGACAATTCTACGATTCAGCACCACTCTCTTCCCAACAAGACAGAATTCAACACAACTCCAGTTCAAAACTGGTATTCTTAACTCCTGCCAGTTAAATAATCACAGTGGTTGCATTTAGCAAAGTGTTCATTCAGGCATTTAAAAAAGTATTGTGGAAACATCTCTTACGGCCTGGAAGAAAGCAAGCATTTTGGGGTGTTACTCTGGACAAATCAGGCTTAATCCTAACTTTGAAACCTGAAAATACAAAAATGTCAACGTTTTTTTTCTTCTCCACATTCTCTTTCTTTCATGTCTTTTGAGTGTTATACCATTTCTATCCAACATGAAATATTATAGTCCCTTTGCATCCGAACTCTCCCCGTTGAGGGAGTCAACAATATTACCTAATCAGAACTTTGTGAGTCTACAAGTAGGCTAAAGTCACACATTGTTAGGATCCAGAATCAGGAAGTCTCATTCTTTTTTCCCCTAAGACAACTTATTTCATAAACAAATGATACATTGCAATAAAACTCCCCAAACAAGCTGTGCAAACGATTAGCAAAAAGAAAGCTTTCTACAATCATTTATAAAAATACAACACAACTTTCAGGTCCAAATTAATCCCCGGGGGAGAAAAATCTATGCAAAACCCATGGAGATCCCTTAACTGTGAATCAGAACAGACTTTCTTCTATTCCAAGATCAAATTAAATCCACAGTTTAATCTTGGTCCAACTCACTCCACAGGGTAACCATGGAGAAAGGAGGAGGAGAAAGGGGTATTGGGGGCATCAGCTGCTTTGGCGCCATATAAATAAAATAATAAAATCAGCCTTGATTTTCAAGTTGCACAATGTTCTTCGATCAGCTAAAAATAATCTGATGGATAGCTTACTTATTAAAGGACCGAATGCAAGCACGTAAGCTCCTAATCCACCCCGATGTGTCAAACGTGGCATCAGGGAGCAGGCACCTTTGCCAACCTCTCAACCAGAAAAACCAGATTTTCCCTTCCTAGTCGTTGAACATCCTGAACTGGAAATTAATTCTATAAACAACCTTGGCTCAAAATAAAAACACCTATCAATACAGTCGGTTAGGAAACAAGAGCCACCGCTTTGCCTCCAAAGGCACCGCTTCTTACTTTGCACCCGTATTGCAGAGCCAACTTGATGAGGTTGTCGTCTCCTTTAACGACCCGCTCTAGAAGCTGCACGTCCCCAACCCTCTTCTGGGAAGAACCGGGTGGCTGGGGGTCTTTCCCCCTGGCACGTAATTCCGTGGCGTTGAACTCTTCCTCCGACGAGTCCTCGGAATCCGATTGCCTGCCGCTTCGGAACAAAAACACTTGACTACCCGAGAAGTTTCGGACTGTGGCAGGAGCTTGGAAGGGCCTGATCAGCCTTTCATTCAGCCTCATGTTGTACAGCAGCACCTCTGGCAAGTTAAAAAAAAAAGAAAAAAGGAAAATATTGTTCATCAAGTGAGCCAGATTATTTACGGGCAGAAGTTGAGCCAGTGCAAGGCAAGCTTTGAGGCAACAACTCCGAAAGAAGGTAGATAATTAATGTTGACATGCTATGTCATAAGATAAGGTCTCCCGTCCTAAAGAAACAAGTTCCATTATTTTTTTTCATTTTTAATGTTCACGTCCCATGGCATATTTTTCTTATCAATGCCTTTGGTCTTATTAGTCTCATCCCTTAGGTATAAAGCAAGGGTTTTCAAACTTGGCAAGTTTAGGACTTGTGGACTTCAATTCCCAGAATTCCTGAGCTAACATGATTGGAGGAGGATTTCTGGGAGTTGAAGTCCACAAGTCTTAAAGCTGTCAAGTTTGAAGACCCCTGGTATAAAGCCTGGGAAGGTGATAATCTGGCGCCATCCAGAGGCAGAGATGAACTTCAAGAGAGTCTTGGATTTCCAAGAATGGAGAAAAATTTGCACTTTGTTGCAAAAAATAGGCTTTTAGTTTTATATAATAGCTTTGAAAGTCTGACTCACAGACGAACACAATACAGAAGCCCGATGATGGCAGATGAGATTCTGCCGAAACGTTACTACAACTTTAAAAGCACAACTATAATGACATAGGAAAATACCCAAACAAAGCTGAATACCATACATGTAAGTACCCATGAAAACTTACGAAAACATATATATTATATTATTTATATTTATATTTTCACAAGTACAGGTATGCAGGTCTTGGCGTGTTTGGGTCTTTTCCCTTGTAAGATTGAGAGCATCTTGGCAACGTTTCGGCAAGGTCCCACTCGCTATCTTCAGGCTGGTGCTTTCGGATTCGTGCTTGTGCAAGCAAAGCATGATCGGAGCTGCCGTCTCCCTATATATACTGGTGGGGAGGTTGGCTGTGTTGTCATTTCTTGATTGGTTGATGGAGTTGATGTTTGCAGATTGGCCGGCTTTTTTGTAAGAACATGTGTGGTTGAGGTATTGGCTGTGTGTCTATCAGCCTCCTGTGTTGTAACGACCTGGGTAATGGGCTGTGTGATGACCTTCTGAGTTCTATTGTTGTGACACCCTGGGTCTTGTGCTGTAATCTCCTGGGTCGTTGGCTGTGTTGCAACATCCTGAGGTTGTGTGGTGTAACCTCCTGAGCTCTGTGATGTGATATCCTGAGCGGGTGGCTGTGATGTGACGTTCTGGGTTTTGGTTTGGGTCTGAGTTTGAGGCCTGGATATGTGTCCATGGCATGTGTCCGTTTGCTTGGTTTGGGGGTCAGGGTGTGTGGCAGCTGGTGATGCAGCTGTGGTCTGGTTTCTGGACGGTTGTTGTCTTTCGTCTATGGGATGGGTTTGGGTTTGAGTCTGGTGAGGGAGAATGGTGGTGGTGTCATGTGTTGTTTTGGGTCCGGTGTTGGTTTTCATGGCTGGGACTCATTTGTTGGTGAGGGCTAGTTTCCAGATCTCTGGTAGGTGGGAGGCATCGTCCCGTTTATTCATGTTGTGGGGGTGTTTCTCTATTTCAATGGCTTCCCTGATTATTAAACCATGGCTACATCACCAGCTGCCACACACCCAGTATATATAGGGAGACGGCAGCTCTGATCATGCTTTGCTCGCACAAGCACGAAGCCAAAAGCACCAGCCTGAAGATGGCGAGTGGGACCTCATCGAAACGTTGCCAAGATGCTCTCAGTCTTACACGGGAAAAGACCCAAACATGCCACAACTTTAAAAGCACAACTATAATGATGTGTGTGTGTATACACACACACACATTATACATATATACATATATATACATATATATATACACGTACATACATACATACATTGCAGCTATGCATATGAGGAAGCTTTTGCCGAGCCTTCAAAGACAGTGTTGTATTCAGTTTTTCTCAATCCTTGGTGATTTACCTTAAGACACCATGAATGCCTTAGCCAGCCTTTAACAAGTAAGTAATACGTCTTTTTTTTTTCGTCCAAACGTTCATTGTGAATTCAGTATACTTCCACTGAAATTCCCACCGTTGAATCTCCCTTAATACATTCGATATCCATTTAATCATACAATATTTGCCCTCTTGGGATTTTGTGTCATATTGGATGAACAAATTATAATGGCCCTCAAGTTATATTGAGCTATGCCTTATCCAGTTATTCTATTCTATTCTAAAATCCCCAAATTCAGTGAGTTTTCTCTGTACTCCTTTTTAATCTACAATTTTTGTCAATACTAAACTATGTATTTGAAGCTACTGAAATCAAGTAGCATTGTTTATGAAGTATGAACAATGTTAATAGCTTATCTTCTCTTAAAATACAACCAATGATTTGTTTTCCCCATATCTCCTCTCTTATCTACAATAGATTGGTACAACCAACCAACTTGATCTTTTTTTTTTTTTGATTTTAAGAATCTTGATCGTTAATTCCTTCCAATAGTATCTTTCTTTCCCTTTTTTTTTTCTTGGTACCTTTTCACTAAATTCTCCAAAGCTTTAACAAATCTCTTTGATAAATCCCATATCGAAAAGTTATCCAAGTCACTTTCTGGATTTGTGATTTGTACATCCCTTCTTTAAGACACCAGAAATCTGAAGGCACCTCTTCCAGGTCAACGTGGGATCTCCTCCTCATTGTCCTCTGCTAATCTGATTTGGAAAGAGCAATCCGAAAGACCTGTGGCTCTGCCCGCTTTTCTTCCAGAGGCGCTGACGTCAAAACTTTTAGTCATGAGTTGATGGATGACCAGCAAATAGAAACACTTGGGAGTAAAAGATTTGCTGCCTTGGTGGGGCTGCCCTTGTTCTAAGCCTTCCTAGTTAAACTCCCATCTAGTCCAGGGATGAGCAACTCTGACCCCTTTATGACCTGTGGACTTCAAGTCCCAGAATTCGTGAGCCACCATGCTTGGAGTTGAAAGTCCACAGGAAGGTGCCACAGAGTTGCCTATCTCTGATCTTAATCCAACCTGAATGGAAATACCTTAGCAGTTAAGCCGCCTGCACTAGTAGGATGAAATATTGGACATGGTGGAATTTGTGGCTGCATTACTGCCGATTCTTCACACTTGTGTGTGTCAGAAGAATATAAAATTGACTTTAGGAATATTGTCTGTAGGGCAGGCAACACACACGGGGCATTTTCCTGCAATAAGAAAACTAGCACAGCCAAGCCTCTGTTCTGTTAAACACACACACACACAACCACACAACTTCCCCGGACTGTCTTCCTAAGTTCTTCCCTAAACCTTTCAAGCGATCGCTTCCGCGATCTCCAAAGTAGATCCAAGAGCTGCTCCCCTCATTTCCTTTCCAAGAGATGGGAGTTTCTCATCCCCAAAGCGTTTCCACGCATTCCATGCATAAGCAGTTGAAGGCCGCGCGTCTTTTTTAAGGTTGCCGAGTTTGAAAACCAAGCCTGCCCCCCAAAAAGCTGGCTGGGAACTCTGGGAGTTGGAGTCCCCCCAACCTCTCAGAATGGCTAAGCTCGAGAAGGAGGGGATCCCCAAATTCTGCCTCCCTCCCTCTGATCCTCTCCCAGGACAGAGACCCCAAGACGAATCGGGGCTTCCGATCTCAGCCTCCTCGCGGATGAAGGACCCCCCCCCCCCCCGGCCATAACCTTCCCCCCCTCCCCCCCCCCTTCCCCCCCCCCCCCCCCCCCCCCCAATCCAACAGTCCAAGTTCCTCCCCCTATTTCTTTGCTGACCTGGATTCCGGCAGCAACCCTTTCCTTCCCTTCCTGCTCGCCCCGGTCGAGCTGGCCTCAACTGGTCAAAATGCCTCGCTTGCTTTTTTCACCATTGGCTGCCAAAGCCCAGGAAGGCGAGGCCGGGCCGCATACCAGCCAGTCCCACGCAGGGAGGGGGCGGCGGGACGGGCACGGGTGGGCAGGGCGTTGAGCAATGGGAGCTTGCCGGGGCGGGAGCAGAGACGCCTCGGAATTAAAGGGCGAGCGCCTCGAAACAAAACAAAACAACCCCCACCAAGGAAAAAGGAAAGAAAGAAAAATACAAAATGCAAAGGAGAAAAAGAAAAAAAAAGAGCAACACTTAAAGAAACAAAGAAGAGTTATGAATTTTGCAAAGGATAAGAAGAACCCTGTCATCTCCCCTCCTTCTTTTAACTATTCCATAAATCCCTGCAGCCTCTTACTTATTTCTCATCTTTGGACCCAAACTTGTTGCAGTATTCCAGGGGTGGTCTTACTAAGGCTTTACAAAGTGGTACTAATACTTCACATGATTTTGATTGCATGAGTTTGTTTATACAGCTCAGGATTGTATTAGCTTTTCCGGGCTGCTGCTGTACATTGCTGACTGATATTCAAGTGATCATCTACTGGGACTCCAAAATCCCTCTCACAGGTACTGTTTTTGAGCCAGGTTTCACCTAATCTGTACTGATACCTTTGATTTTTTTTTTCCCTGCCTAAAAGTAAAACTTTGCTTTTCTCCACATTAAAATCATTAAATAGCTAAAGCTGCTGCTGTGGAAAGCAATGGGCACGTCTTCTGTATTTTCACCTACTGCATTCAGTTTTGGTCAACACAAAGAAAGAAAAAGGAAGGAAGGAAGGAAGGAAGGAAGGAAAGAAAGAAAGAGAAAGAGAGGAAAGAAAGAAAGAAAGAAAGAAAGAAAGAAAGAAAGAAAGAAAGAAAAGAAAGAAAAAGAGAAAGAAAGAAAGAAAGAAAGAGAAAGTGAAAGAAAGGAAAGAAAAGAAAGAAAGAAAAAGGAAAGAAAGAAAGGAAAGAAAGAAAGAGAAAGAGAAAGAAAGGAAAGAAACAAAGGAAAGAAAGAAAGGAAAGAAAGAAAGAGAAAGAAAGAAAGGAAGGAAAGAAAGAAAAAGAAAGAAAGAAAGAAAGAAAGAAAGAAAGAAAGAAAGAAAGAAAGAAAGAAA